GCTACTGCTGCAATTGAGGTACAGCATATGATGCTTAGCTTTCTGGAGACTGAATCAGATTCTTGCAGTAGTTTGTCCTGGCTCCCAGCTTACATGCTTGACACCTAGAGTGAAAAGGACTAGGCACTCTCTAAGCAATCCCTGGTCACTTAAACTTTGCAATGCTCCGGATGGCCTCCTCAGGTTTTGTGCTTGTTTTGAAAGGGCCACAGCAGTGATTTCTGCTACCCACCAACATGTGCAGACTGGTAGAGGGAAGAAGGAGGACATGTGGGTGTGGCTCAGCTTCCTGGATAATCTTAGCAGGGTGTCATTTTGGCATGAGCATTTGGATAAGGACTTGTCCCTGCAAGATGCTGGGCTAAAGTGTAGTTGAATTCAAATACTAGGAAGGATCTGACATTCCTTGAATTTCTCTCCATCCTGCTGACTGTGTTATTTGGTGAGAGGATTTCCTAGACAAAATAGTCCACTTCTGGTGCGACAATGAAGATGGTCAACCAACAGCCATCTCATTAATCCAGGGTTATGTACTCCATTTGTCTGGCATAGATAAAAACTGCTGGACAGTTCAGTGGTTTAGGTATGTAGCTGTGGAGCCAAAGGTTGGAAGTTCAGTTCCCCACTGTGTCTCCTTGACAGGGGCTGGACTCAATAGTGTCTCTTTGTCATGAGTCTTGCATCTTTCGAGTCCTTACCCAGTGCTCTCTGTGGTCCTCAGTACCTTTTCCCTCAGGCTGGGGAAAACCCAAGAAGTATTCTAGAGCAGCAGTCCCCAATCGTTTTGGGACCACAGACCGCTTGGGGTGTGTGGGCTCCATGTGGGGGGGGGCAGGGGCATCCCCGCGCTCACAGGTGGGTGTGTTGCACTCACAGAGGGGCATGACACACCCACCCACGATCATGACACGCCCACTGTGTGTGCATGCAGGGGGCAGAGATCCATCTCTGCGGCCCAGTTCTAGGAAGCCCCTGGACCAGCACTAGGCCGTGGACCAGGGGTTGGAGACCCCCCTCAACTCTGTTAGGAAACTGTTAGAGCAGGATCTGCCCATAAAACACAAAAATACACAGTAGGTGCCTGTGGCAATTGGCCCTGTCACTCCTGCCACTCACGCTCAAGAGCTTATTTGCATGAGCCTATCAGAGAGCTAGAGAGGCGGAGTCAATTGATATATGAGGCTTGGCTGAAGGAGGAGCAGTCAGATAGAGATGACTTAGGGAACTGATGAGGAGATAAAAAGAACTGGCTAGAAAGAGATAGGTTGGAGATGTGTTTATGAAACTAAACAAAGAGAAACAAAGTAATGAGAGAACTGATAAGCTAAGGCCAATGAACATTGATTACCTGAAAGATTTCTAATACTGTTTGAAATACTGGTTCACTTTAATAAATACATTTTGTTTGTTCACAAGACAAGTGTCCAGTCATATGTTGTTATTGTGGATTCAGATAATCCACTGGTGGCATCATAAATGGAATGTGCCTGTGGACCTTTGTGAGGGAATAATGAACAAGGGACATGGGGTTCCCGACAGTGCCCAAGTGACAAGGATTTTGATTCAGAACTGGTGAATGTCCTCTGTACATCAAAATAATTCCAAGGCAATGAATTGTTGTTGTTGTTGGTTAAAAAACCTATGCATAGTCAATCAAAATTATAAAAACATTGGTTGTTGTAGTTTTTTCAGGCTGTTTGGCCTGTTCTGGAAGTTTTTCTTCCTAACATTTCGCCAATCTCTGTGGCCGGCATCTTCAGAGGACATTAGTTATAACTCTGTATAACTCTGCCACAGAGACTGGTGAAACATTAGGAAGAAAAACCTACGGAACACTGCCAAACAGGCCGAAAAACCTACAACAACCATCGGATCCTGGCCGTGAAAGCCTTCAAGAATACATATAAAAACATTGATTGGTATTATATCAGATACAAGTTTTAACCAAAAACCTATCTGTTAAGCATCAGCATAGTATATGCTGTTCTTAATCTTGCCATTTTTTGTAGCTCTGATGGTGTGATTTCTGAGATCTACAACTGCTTATAGTAATGTGTGCAATTTCTTGAAAGTGTTCCCAAAGCCCCAATGACTATGAGGACCACTGAAGTGTCTTTCTTCCAGAGGCAAGATGTTTCAATTGCCAGGTCTCTGTACTTTGTTAGTTTTTCCAATTCTTTATTTTCAACTCTGGCATCCCTTGGAATTGCAATGTCAATGTTCCAGACATTTCTTTGTTTTATTACTACTATGTCTGGTATGTTATGTTCAAGGTATCTATAAGTTTGAATCTGGAAATCCCACAAGATCTTGACTTCCTCATTTTCTGACACCTTCTCTACCTGATATTCCCACAGGTTTTTGGAGGCTGGCAAGTTTTATTTTTTGCATAATGACCAGGGCAATAATTTTGCCACTCCATGTCTAACTTTGTAATTATTATTATTATTATTATTACCATCTTGTCGAAGGCCTCACAGCCTGGCTCTGCTCTCAAAAGGCACAGTGAGAACTGAACTCCCAGTTCCCGGCTCTGCAGCTAGTTACCTAAACTGAATTATATGGCCAGCTATGGGGATGTAGTGCATAGAAAAATAAACAGGCATTGGACTTTGGCTAAAAAAAGTCACACTTAGAAAATAACAACTATTCTAGCCCTCCTGACTACTGGATACCTGCTCTAGAGGATAGCCCTGGAGTGAAGACTACGTTACATGTCTCTGGGCTCAGATCTGTTCTGTTCAGCTCAGCTCTCAGGCAATATACTAACAGGTCTCTTTTTATAATATGATAAAAGGCTTCAGGCATTAGGTCTGCTGTCCTGAGAACATAACCCACTTCAATCCCCTTCCCTTGATTAAGACAGATAATTAATTGTTCTCCTGAATGGTCTCTTCTCCCCATTGTTTAACAAGATGAGAAATTGAGGTCTGCATTTCAAAGTCTCCCCTGAAGCTGCCTCTACCTGGAACTCTAAAGCAGCAGTTTTCAATTTGGCTGCCATTTCATTTTTCAATAAAGCCTGCAGATTCCTTGACCCCTGCTGGTTATTTCTGGCCTGCCAGGCTCCAGAGTGTTGATGACACCATGATGTGCTGGAATTTTGACTCTAGGTTTGTTGACACAATATGATCTCACCCAGTTCTAGCCTACCTTCATGCTTGCCTTCTTTTTGCTTTACTAATCAACAAGTGTGTGCCCTCTCCACAATGAGACAAGTCCTCTTCAGCCAGAAAAAATTCATTTCCAAAAAGATCCTTCAGATTAGTTCTTCAAAACTAAAAAATTAAGATTAAAAGTACCAAAATAAAGGACGAGAGCTACAAACTACAAGCATTTGCAGACGACTTGGTGTTTATATTGGAAGACCCACTGAAAACAACATTGAGACTACTGGACAAAATCAATGAATTTGGGAAAGTAGCAGGATTGAAGATAAATAAAGAAAAAACTAAAGTTATAGTGAAAAACTTAACAGCCAAGCAAAAAAATCAACTCTCAAAGATGTCAGATTTACAAATAGTTAAAAAAGTTAAGTACCTTGGAATATATTTAACTGCTAGATGTGTAACTATAAAAGAAGATAATAATATGAAACTACTTAACCAAATAAAAATAGACCTAGAAAAATGGAAAAACTTACAACTATCGCTATTAGGAAGAATTGCAACAATCAAAATGAACATTTTGCCAAAGCT